TCCTCTCTCTCATCGTCGTCGAATTTAAAATTCCTGAAACTCTCTCTCTTATGTTTCTGTGTTTGGTTAGAAACTCTCTCTCTCGCTATTTTACTGAGAGGAAATGGTGTTGAAGTGGAAAAAGTTGGCCGGAATCCTAGCAGTCGCGGCAGCAATATGGGCTGGGGCAAGCATGTACAGTGAACGCAGAAAGAATAGGGTTCAGGCGTAGACGGAGGTTGCTAATGCCATGGCGGAGGTTGCTAGGTTTTCACTCGAAATCATGAACGCCTTTCCTGCCCAATTGTCGGAGGACGTTATTCAACTGATAGTGGAACACAAGGAAAAACTGGAGCGAGAAAGGGAAGAGGCGATGCTTGTCGATCAAAATGCAAGGAAATTACCACAGGGCCTTGATTTGTTCTCTGATCACATAAACTCTAGTGAACGCGTTACAAACTTACTCCTCAGCTCAGACTTTCTCCGCTGTATGTTCAGAGAATTTTATGTCTGTTATTCAATTCAACGACTTGTACATTTATAAGGTTATCCAAACTCGATAGCTACAGCTCTTACCAATGAGAAAAGATACGTATAAAAGTAAACTACTCACAATATATATCTCATGTCTTATATACACATATGCCATATATATCTAAATCCCAATACTCCCCCTCAAGTTGGCGCATGAAGATTGTGAATGCCCGACTTGCGAAGAAACTATTCGAGATGCAAGAAAATTAATGGAGGGGCTTGATTTGTTCTCCGATCAGATGAACCCTACTGAACGGGTTACGAACTTACTCCGCAGGCTCAGACTTTCCCCGCAATATGATCACGATCGAACCGTTACGGGGAAAACTTGTCAAGTACTCTTATCATATCACTAAGATTTTCGAACGGCCTGAGATTCGTGTTCTTTGGAGCGCTCGAAACGGACGTGTTGATGGATTCGAAGGCCCTCCTCGATTCTCCAATTGGCTGCTTACCGACTTCCAGTTTGATGAGACACACCAAGACATGTAAAAGTCCGCTTGACTATCACAATACAAGCGGATTGGATCTTGATGAGACACACCAAGACATGTAAAAGTCCCTTCAACCATTTTAATTTGCAACACGTAGTGGCCATCGAGCGATACTCAGTTTCAGTGGACGAGCGGGATACAATGTGTTGTTTCTTTGTTTTCCACGCAATAGGCGACTCGTGAACCGTTGGTTAACGACAATAATCATGTCTCCATTCAATTTTTCATTTATGTTTAATTTGTCCTTTGTTCTAAAAAAATTATAATCAAACTCTTAACCTTAAGAGTTGGTTAATGGTCTTGTATTTTTGATTTGTGAACCCCGATCGATTCTGACTCGTAAACCGTTGGTTCACGACAATGATCATGTCTCCACCAATTTTTCATTTATGCTTAATTTTTCATTAATATTCATTTGTCTTTTGTTCTAAAAATAAAAAAAATATATAATAAACAATCAAGAGTAAACAACTCGAAATGAAAGTAATCACAAGAACGAAAAGGTTCTAATTTAGAAGAGAAAAAAAAAATCACTACACATATGATATTCAAGACGATGATAAATAATTACCGGAATAAGCTAATAAAAAATAGATATTGTAAATAAAATATTATAGTTTATGTATATCAATATTAAATAAAATCACATTTTACTATTTTAATATATTTTAATATATACATAAATTAATAGAGATGTGCAACGCACATCACACAATTCTAGTATATATAAAAGTCTGCAAAATACAAATCTCCTTTTTTATGTGACATATAGTATTTACAAAAATTCATATAAATTAAATATCAACAAATTTCTGATGATATCTTTCTCTACAAATTTCCCTTGATCTCTCTCCGTCTATTTCACTTGCTATATACATTTTATGTGTTATTGAGGATATATAAGTAACGTATATGAGTGCAAGAATATATTGTTGGAATTTTCATGATTTCCAATAATTAATATTGAGTAATATTAATTAAATTATGAAAAGATTAATTTCATTTATTTACTTGATCGTAATCATGAAGTAAAGTGAATGAAAATTGTCTTGGGTAAATGGTTAAAGTTCAAAAGATGTGCGCTCGATGTGATCGAGTTATAGGACTAGTTTGGGTTTAGGTGTCCACAAATATTACTTTTGGGGACATTTAGTAGTTAGTCAAATTATTTGACCCAAAATCCAAATAATAAAATATTTGGCCCAAACCAAATTAATTAATTGGCCCATGACCAATTAATTTTCAATCCGTTAGCATAGATTCTGACTCGGACACTAACAATATCCATGTTAATCTAACCAATGTATCTAATGGAAGACTGAAAAATGGATATATAGTATAAATTTTGTTTTTAAAATCAGTAACAATACGTCACATAATATTCAGCAAAAGTACGAGAAAGGAAAACCTCAACATACGCGAGTTCGTTATTAGCCATCACCGTAACCACATCTTCTTGCTATCTAATTCCTCAATATCAGATAATAAAGCTTCGCCTGCAATCAGAAAAAAAAAAAAAAAAGAATACAAAATAGTTATGTTCATATATTTGCAGGATAATACAGAGAAGGAAAAAAACCAGATATTATTCCATGTCTTCCATATTTCAAAGCAGTACTTTCAAGAACTCATTGTCTGTGAATCTTGTAGCATGGATATATTCAATGATTTACACACATAATATCATATAAAACTCTTTGTTCGTAATTTTCATGACATTCCCCATTTCTACCATACAACAAAAATATAATTATAAAATTACATACAAGAATGAATAAATGGTCCGAGGAGAAAAAAGAATTAAAAATATAATCAAAAAGTAAATTATAAAGTCTTAATTATATTAAATTTACATAATCGCAATCTACAATAAGTTTGAACAATGTCTGTCATCGAATAAACAATGCTATGTGGGTGAATCAATGTAGCAAACAAATTAAGAACTATTAGGGCTTTTGCAAATAAACTGAAATCAAGATAATTTGCAAAGGAGAAATTACCGATTAGATGGCGTCGGCAGGTCGCCCTGGGAGTGAGAGACGGCGACTACAAAATGTTGGAAAAAGATTATGGTTCGAGAGAATCGGCGACTGAGAGATAAAATTGAAGGGTTGTATTTTTAATACTTAAATAAATGAATTGGGGTTCTCCCCGAAGTTAAAATATTTCCTATTTGAAAGTCTAACCAAAATAAAATTTGGGCGGCCCAAAATATTATAGCGTTCTTTTTTATTCTGATTGGTTATTATAGCACTTAGTACAAAAATGCTATAACAATATGCTATTAAAAGTCTATTTTCTTGTAGTGATATCTCACCTTATGTGGTTTAATATCTCAAGTTTCACAATTACACATATTCACACACACACTTTTCACACACACACAGATACACATACACATACACATACACATACACACTTTTTACACACACGCACACACGCACACGCACACTTACATGCACATACACACTATCTGTTTATATATATATATATATATATATATATATATATATATATATATAATGTTGACATTTATATACATGTTTATATATACACACACACTCACATACACACACACACACACTCGTATACACACACACACACACACACACACATTCTGTTCACACACACACACACACTCACACACACACACACACACTCTATGTACACACACACAGATACATGTCTATGTATATATATATATATATATATATATATATATATATATATATACAAGTCTCACGACGAGCAGATATATATATATATACACGCACATACACTCACACACACACACACACACACACACTTTGTTTACACACTGTTTTACACACACAAAGACACTCACATACACACACACTGTTTTACACACACACACACTCACATACACACACACTGTTTTACACACACACACACTCACATACACACATTGTTTTACACACACACACTCACATACACACAGTTTCTACACACACACACTCTCTGTTTTACACATACACACACTCGCATACACACACAGTTTCTACACACACACACACTGTTTTACACACACACACACACTCACATACACACACAGTTTTTATTAATATACTCATTGATAATTTTTTATCAATTAAACTTTTAATTAAAATAATATTTGACTTTTTTTTTTGAGAAAATTGTTTTGGTATTTAATTGGGTTTTGGTTGGATCCAATATGACCCACTTTATTTTGTGGTTAAACTTTCAATGGATCTAAAGTGGATCCACATGGATCCAGTTTTAAAAAAAAATCAACTTGATCCGATCCGGTATGTTTCAACTAGACTTAATCTAAACTGAATCCTTATGGACCGAACCGGATCTAATCGGATCCATGAAACCGGATCCAAATTGCCACCCCTACTTGTATTGTAAAGTAGCATCTCTGAGTACCTTAGCCCTCGCGCGCTCTCGTATGTAATCCCTCGTCTCTTTGGCATCATTGGCTTTGACGGCAGCCGGTTTAGGACGGCCAGCATGGCGTATTCCGGTGCGTACTCGATCTCACGGCGGCGGCAATCATCTGACTTCATCTTCTTTTTCATTTGGATATTCCAATAAAAAACCAACCACGTTAATATAATAAAACAAAAGAAATCTTATTCTAATTTAGAATATGAAAAATAACAGCAACCAAATCGAAATTCACATTCAATACGCCACCAGAATAAAAATCGTAACCAAATAAATCAAGCACCTACTATTATACTTCTCCAGTTTGTAGAGAATTTAAATATTGCTCAAAAGAAGATTACTTTAAAAAAAAAAAAAAAAAAAACCAAATAAATCAAGCATTTTTTTTTTCTGCTTTTTTAAAAAAAAGTGATTTTTTTTTTCGATTAGGCTTCCCTTAATTAAAATTACTACAAACTTATCATATTTCACTATCTAAGTAACATAATCTATTACCAAATTAATGTAATCCCGCTCGAAAAATTAATTTAATCAAAGTATTAAATTGATAAAAATAAATGTAGATTAAACAAATGATATATAGATACCAAAAGTCCAAAACGAATACAATACAATGTGCTTTGGCAAGAACAAAACCATGAAATTCAGTCGATTAATGGCAGACTGTTAATCTATGAGCTCACGTTCTTCTCGTTTGTTTTCTCACTTTCAGATGCTTAACAGAGAGTAACGGAGAAGAAGTTGGTTCTTGCCTTCATAATTCGTTCTTCTTGTGAGTTGACTCGTTCGCTCACCTTCAACGTAAGTCGCCCATTTTTTTGTTTGCCAATTAGCTCTAGAAATCCGCACTTGAACCATATTCAGATTTGTGAGCGTGTAATTGCAGCTTAATTGAATATTGATTATTGCCTCATGTGTGTGTTTCTGGGAATGCCCACAACATGTTTGATGTTTGGTCTGTGTGAGTTTGTTGATACACATCTCTTGCTTTTTTTATCCTGAATTTGGGATTTGTTTCAATATTCTATTTGACTGGTTTTTATATATGATTTTTTTTTTCTGGAATGGCTACTAAATTTGTTGCAGGGGATACATTGTTTTCTGAAAGTTTAATTCTAACATATATCTTTGTTGCAGGGGATACATTGTTTCTTTAGTTGCAAACCATCAATTTGACAATTTGTTTTTCGCATAATGCTTAAAGTCAAGTTCGCCGTCCAATCCCGCTTTCTTCTCGTACCTTACATATCACGAAACTGTCGGTGGGACTCCTGCAAACCACTTCCGTTTTTCATCAATCCATTCTTCACAGAATCTCAAAACAGGGCCTACACCTCGACTCCACAGCCGAATAATTCCGCGAACATTCTTTTGGTAGACTACCTAACTAACTCTATAAAACTCCCCAATACCGAAGCTGTTGCAATCTCTAAACGCTTCCCACGTGTCAGTTCGGTCGAGAAACCCGAAGCAGTCGTGAGTTTCTTTAAATCTCTCGGTTTTTCCGATGCGCAGATCCAGCTGTCGGTCAAACGTCAACCTGGAATTCTATTTGCCGATATCGAAAAGACAATCAAACCAAAGGTGGCATTCTATCAAGAATTGGGTTTATGTGGACCCCACCTGGGGACAATGGTTTCCAAGAATCCGTTTCTCTTAGCTAGCAGTTTGAGTAAAACGATAAAGCCGGGCATCGAGGTTATCAAGGAAGTTCTTGAAAGTGAAAAGAGTAATAATGACAATAATAATAATTTCAAAGCTCTCATGTTCCGTATACTTTCGAGGTATGCTTTCGTTATTGGCAAGGACTCGGTATTGCGCTCCAACATTGCCTACCTGAGAAGGTGTGGAGTTGTCGGTTCTCAATTGATCACTATGTTGAAGTGCGAGCCAAGGCTACTTTCTATACCCGAAGAAGAACTCAGAAATCTCGTTTCACGAGCTACAGAAGTTGGGTTTTTAATGGGATCAAGAATGCTGGTTTACGGCATTTTGGCTCTTTACGGAAATACCCCCGAGACTATAGATAGAAAGTCGAAATTGCTTCGCAGCTTCGGTTTTTCTCAGGACGAAAGCAATGAAATGTTTGTGAAGTCGCCACCGATGTTTAAAACATCAGAGGCGAAACTAAGGCGTGGCATTGAGTTCTTCTTGCAAACTGTTATGCTCGATAAATCGGTGCTTGTAGGTACACCATCCCTTTTGGATTTTAGTTTGGAGAAAAGAATGATTCCTCGTTACAAAATTCTCGAGATGATGAAGTCGAGGGGTCTTCTCGAAAAGAAGCCGAGTTTTGTTACTGTGGCATTCTTGACAGATAAGAAGTTTGTGGAGAAATATATATTGAGGTTTGGGAATGATGATGCCAAAGAATTGCAGCTAGCTTATGAGAATCACCTTTTGCAAGAATCTTGACAAGGTTAGAAAATACAAATTGACTGCCAGAAATTTTTATTTTTAGTTTTCTTGTTTCGTTTACAAGTGTTTTCGTTGCAATCTTGGATTGGAAACTGGCCATTTTATTCGTTGGCAAGGTTTTACTTTGTGATATTCGTAAATTAAATTAATAATTGTCGACTCTTGTATGTCATTTCAATATAATACAATTATGTTGCATATTGTGTGATATTGATATCAAATTATAAATTATGTGATTATGCTCGACGTTGGATGCGAGACACTACAACGGCGCCTGTTATTATATTATATGGGGTAATTATTTTTGTCATAATATTTGTCGCTATGCATATATCACCGATTCAATATAGTGACAGCCAAATACGAATTCGTGACAGGCAAAAATGAAGTATTAGTGACAAAATATAAATTCTCGGTACTTGATGTAAGCATTTAGTGATAAGTCTTTATACTGTGATAATGATACTGCGTCAAGACTTATTTCGGGTGACTTTTATTTATTACCGATGAAGAAATGTAGCCTTGTAGTCGCATGTCAACACCCTATATTTTGTTTAGATAGCACATCACTGATTACTTCTTACTTCAGAATGCTCCTGTGAAGTTCACACAGGTAGAAAATCTACCCTTCATTCACACTCACACACACACATAGATGTGTGTGTGTATTTCACCCGATATAGCATCTAATTTAACTAATCCCTCAGTCGAAACGTAGGAATAGCTATCAGAGGGTTAGCTCTGGAAACAACAAGGCTAAACTCTTCCGTCATATCCAATTCCTCAGGCAACATACCTTCTGGAAGCTTCCAATCGAAGCAATGCACCAACTGCGACACAATCAATCGAACTTGAATAAGCCCTAGCTGCATACCCGGGCAGCCCCTCCTGCCCGAACCAAACGGCAGAAGCTCGAAATGCTGCCCCCTCAAATCAATCTCACTCCCGACAAATCTCTCCGGAAAAAACTCATTCGGGCGGGCCCACACGTTCGGGTCCCGGCCAATCGCGTGCGTGTTGACTATGACTCGAGATTCTTTGGGTATGTGGTAGCCGTTGACTGTGCAGTCTTCCGTAGAGTAGTGAGGGATCAAGAGTGGGGCCACCGGGTGGAGCCGAAAGGTTTCTTTTACGACCATGTCTAGATATTTGAGCTGGTCGAGATCCGATTCCTCCACCATCCTCTCCAAACCGACGACTTGTTCCAGTTCTTCCTGGACTTTTTTCATTACTTTCGGATTTTTTATGAGTAGGGCGAGTATCCACTCGACTGTCGACGCTGCTGTGTCCATCGAAGCTGCGAGCATGTCCTGCATGCATGTGTAAGAAAAAGAAATAAACATTTTATTACATTAATTTGTGTATTATGTTTTTTTTTTAAATATTACCAGCATAATAGCCTTGACATGCCCTCGGTCGAACTGAAACTCGGCATCTCCAGATTGCATGATGGACATCAAAGTATCGACAATGTCTCTGGCCTTCCCATCAGCACGATCCGCCGCCTCAGCAGCTCCGTTAACATGCTCATCGATAACTTTCTCGAAGAAATCATCGTACGCTTTCGCAATCTTCTTCATCTTACTCTTAAATCCTTGAAGATCGAATATCCCAAGAAACGGGAAATAATCCCCCAAATTAGGAAGCGCCGCCAGTTTCATCCCTTCTTCGATCACACTCTTGAACCCTCTCCCTCCCATGTCCTTATCCTCGTACTTCTTACCAAACACCATCCGACAGCTCATCTCAGCCGTTAAAGACGAGATCTTTGCACTAAGATCAACGGCCGCTTTCCCCCGACAAGATAGCTTGAGGGATTCGACGAATAGTCCAAGCTCCTCCTTTCTCATTGGTTGAAAAGAGTTGATCTTGAGTGTGCTTAGCAGCTCGAGGGTGCACAGCTTACGCATGCTCCGCCAGTACGGGCCGTACTTTCCGAACGAGAGATTCTTCTGGCCCCACGACATGATCTCGGCGGCCTGGTGCGGGGGTCGGCTGGCGAATACGAGGTCGTGCGTCTTCAGGAAAAGCTCGGCCGATTTGTTAGACGAGACTACGATGTGTGGGACCCACCCGAATCGCATGAACACAATCGGACCGTGTTCTTTGGCTATCGTGTATAGATCTTGGTGCGGGTTTTTGCCCAACATGTGGAGGTGTCCTAAAATCGGGAGCCCTTTTGGACTCGGAGGTAATTTCTTCTTCTTATTATTCACACTTCTTAACCTATGAAGTAAAGGAATTGCTAGGAAGAAGGCTATGGTTGTAAGCCAAAACCAAGAGAACTCCATTTTTTTTCTTGTCTGTTAATCTGTTTGTGATTGTGGGGAATGATTTATAGACTTTATTTTTATTTCTAATGTTTGGATTTGCTTTGTTGGACGTCATAATATAGTAATGGTGACGTCATTTTTGGATGGAAGAGTTGATTGGTTCTTGTTTTGATTATAACAAGGTTGTCTGAGTATGTGTGGCCTGTATGAGAAGTGATGGGCAAGTTCTGTTTGTTATCTTTTTCTGGGATCACATTTACTTCTATGCCGTCCTCTTCTTTTATTTATTATTATTTTATTTTTTTAAATATGCCTCCTTATATATATATATATATATATATATATATATATATATATATATATATATATATATATATATATATATATGTCGTCAAATGAATTTATTATTACGAATTCGAAATCATTTGCTCAAATGCTTCTATGATCCATCTAAGTAAAACACCTCAGGGAAAACGACAATCCAGTTTGTTTATCCATAAGTCTTAAGATTAAGGATTTACATCGATGTTTTCAACAAGTGGATCCGTGGCGCAATGGTAGCGCGTCTGACTCCAGATCAGAAGGTTGCGTGTTCGATTCACGTCGGGTTCAATCCCCAGACTCCACACCTCTTTTTTCTGCTTTTTTTTAATATTTTTTTCACTGTTTTTTTTACTGTAGTAATTTATTTCACGTGCTATTTTCGTACTTGTCTTTTTATTTTATTTTTAATTATTTAACTTCTGCATATTATACTCGTGACCTTGTAGAACATATCAACAAATAATGCAATTGACCATCAAGTAATAAAATAAATTTAGTTATTTAAGCTTAGCTATATATAAACTTCCATTATTTATTTTCTTTGCTTCTTCTAATAATTAACACATGTTCTTCATTTGACTGCTTTTAAAGTGTCCAATCAACGCAAACTATGTCAATAGAAGATAAAATAGTCAACACGTTGACCGTCACATGAATATTTTGCTAATTAAAATCTTTTTTATTCAAATTAAATCAAAGTTGATGATAATATATATGGCAACTTGTATCTATATATATTGCACCCTTCCCACCCTATTCCATACATCAAACAAATTTTAAATTTTGGTATAACATCATTTTGTTATAAAACAAAAAAATCCCTTTTATTCAAAAATTACTTTTTCTTGCATTGCAGAATTTTAAGCCCTTTTTTAGTTTTATTTTACCAAAAAAAAAATGTCGGTTTCGTTAGAAGCACTAGCCATGTCCGGAGCTAACTATTTTGAAGTAGGTTTCGATATAAATGAATGGGAACAGATGGAATCGGAGGTACCACCCCATTTATTAGCCGATGAAGAAGAAGAAAACGTAGAAGAAGAGAAGAAGAAAATCAAATGGAAAAAAGTCGATCAAGAATATTCCGGTAGGTCCTCATTTTGTAGTAATTATAATACGGAGGATTGTTATGGTTATGAAGGTGGAAGCCATCAAGAAAGTGTGATTGAAAATCGGAACTTTCTAAAAACAAACACTTGGAGTTTTATGAATCGAACGAATGTTTGTAAGCCGTTGAGCCGAAATATGATGATTAAATCGGCATTAGTACTATGTTTTGTATTGATGGAAAAATGTCGGAAAACTTCTATCACCAACAATTTTTTCATGCAGATAGTTATTGTGATGATACATTATTGCACGTGAGATAAAAGTATGTAGCCATATAAATTGTAATTTGTTATATATGAAGTTCTGTAAATTTGAAAATGAAATTTGCAATTTTGGTCATCTATGTTGGCTTACTTAAAGATTTAGTCCTCTAAGTTGTCATATTTAAGTTTTACATGCAATAACTTTGCACATTTAACATTTTTGGCCCTAACACTCTCAAGAATTTTATTATGTGTACGCTTAAAAGTTATAAAATACTCCTTTAACTTCGTTTATAAACTCACATGATGAATACTCTTATTGAAACTAAAATATCGAAACGTGCAAAACAGATTTGTTTGGGAGCAAAGTGCAAAACATATCTAATAATCATAGTGTAAAGTATTATCAGAAAAAAAGAAAAAAAAAAAAGACTAGAAAGGCGTTTTAGGATAAGACTATAGATCCGCAACAAGGGCACAACTTGGTTTTGATGTCGTTGTCGGCCAACAGGTGGCGAACAATGCAATGTGAATGAAACGAATGACCGCACTGCGGTAGCACCGTTATCTGTGCCCCGATTGTCGAAGCCCGCATACATATCCCACACGCCTCCATCATCAACAAACCATCGGCAACATCCTCAACCCTATTCCTCGGCAGCTCGAACACGAAAATCGTGAGGAAGGTGTCCGGCATGTTAGAATTCGTCATAGCTCTGGAGAATCCAATATTGAGGAAGTACGGGATCAAGTGGTCCTCCCTGATTGCCCTGTCTCGAACAAATCTGTTAGAATGCGTCACATCTCTGAAAAATTAGGAAGAAGAACAAAAAAAATCAAAAAAGTCAACGTCGGAGACCGGCGGAAAAATCAGGAAGAAAAAAAAAATCAACGTCGGAGACCGGCGGTCAACGTCGGCGACGGACGAAATCGTCCATAAAATTGTGTTTTTGGTCAAAATTGAATAAATTGTGAAATTTGGGGTCAAATTGAGGTTAGATTTAATTAAATGATGAAATTGTGAGAGGGGCTATTTTAGCCTTTTACAAATCTCTGGACCATTTGTGGTCTTTTTTGTAAAAAAAAATGGTTTGAACCCCTTTATGAATAAGTAGTCATTAATGAGCTTATTTCTAAAGTGCCCTATTTTAATTGACATCAATTGAAGTGTGTGCATGTAAAACCGAGTTACTCTTGTCCTTTTCTTTAATTTTTTTTAATAATGTTTAATTCTTTTTGATTTAATTATAGGATTTTTTAAGTAATATTTAGTTCTATTTTATTAATTGATTATATTATATATATTTTTTCTTTTTTTTATTAATGTTTAATTACTTTATTAATATAAATATCGATACAAATAAAACAAACTAATACATCTTACAATGTAATAAAAATATTAAGATAATATAATATCTAATTAAATTAATAAAAAAAATTATACGAAATTTAGAAATTTAATGTAATTAAATACAAAATTCAAAACCTAATTCAAATATTATATTTAATTCATGAATATTTTATTATTACTCAAGATATGTAGTAAATTTTAGGGAGCATAAATATGTAGTATTAGAGCACTTTTGTTAGGGAGTGTTATATGTGTGTCCTATTTTTAGAGAAAGAGTAAATTAAGTAAGTGCTATGTGAACCTCATTATTTGGAGAGTGTTTTTTTGGTGTGAGTACTAGATATGCTCTATCAATCAATAAAGTCGTTGAGTCAAAATCCCCCAAAACTATATATATATATATATATATATATATATATATATATATATATATATATATATATATATATATATATTTTGTTCTTTGATTCTATTCCATCCTCTCTCTCATCGTCGTCGAATTTAAAATTCCTGAAACTCTCTCTCTTATGTTTCTGTGTTTGGTTAGAAACTCTCTCTCTCGCTATTTTACTGAGAGGAAATGGTGTTGAAGTGGAAAAAGTTGGCCGGAATCCTAGCAGTCGCGGCAGCAATATGGGCTGGGGCAAGCATGTACAGTGAACGCAGAAAGAATAGGGTTCAGGCGTAGACGGAGGTTGCTAATGCCATGGCGGAGGTTGCTAGGTTTTCACTCGAAATCATGAACGCCTTTCCTGCCCAATTGTCGGAGGACGTTATTCAACTGATAGTGGAACACAAGGAAAAACTGGAGCGAGAAAGGGAAGAGGCGATGCTTGTCGATCAAAATGCAAGGAAATTACCACAGGGCCTTGATTTGTTCTCTGATCACATAAACTCTAGTGAACGCGTTACAAACTTACTCCTCAGCTCAGACTTTCTCCGCTGTATGTTCAGAGAATTTTATGTCTGTTATTCAATTCAACGACTTGTACATTTATAAGGTTATCCAAACTCGATAGCTACAGCTCTTACCAATGAGAAAAGATACGTATAAAAGTAAACTACTCACAATATATATCTCATGTCTTATATACACATATGCCATATATATCTAAATCCCAATACTCCCCCTCAAGTTGGCGCATGAAGATTGTGAATGCCCGACTTGCGAAGAAACTATTCGAGATGCAAGAAAATTAATGGAGGGGCTTGATTTGTTCTCCGATCAGATGAACCCTACTGAACGGGTTACGAACTTACTCCGCAGGCTCAGACTTTCCCCGCAATATGATCACGATCGAACCGTTACGGGGAAAACTTGTCAAGTACTCTTATCATATCACTAAGATTTTCGAACGGCCTGAGATTCGTGTTCTTTGGAGCGCTCGAAACGGACGTGTTGATGGATTCGAAGGCCCTCCTCGATTCTCCAATTGGCTGCTTACCGACTTCCAGTTTGATGAGACACACCAAGACATGTAAAAGTCCGCTTGACTATCACAATACAAGCGGATTGGATCTTGATGAGACACACCAAGACATGTAAAAGTCCCTTCAACCATTTTAATTTGCAACACGTAGTGGCCATCGAGCGATACTCAGTTTCAGTGGACGAGCGGGATACAATGTGTTGTTTCTTTGTTTTCCACGCAATAGGCGACTCGTGAACCGTTGGTTAACGACAATAATCATGTCTCCATTCAATTTTTCATTTATGTTTAATTTGTCCTTTGTTCTAAAAAAATTATAATCAAACTCTTAACCTTAAGAGTTGGTTAATGGTCTTGTATTTTTGATTTGTGAACCCCGATCGATTCTGACTCGTAAACCGTTGGTTCACGACAATGATCATGTCTCCACCAATTTTTCATTTATGCTTAATTTTTCATTAATATTCATTTGTCTTTTGTTCTAAAAATAAAAAAAATATATAATAAACAATCAAGAGTAAACAACTCGAAATGAAAGTAATCACAAGAACGAAAAGGTTCTAATTTAGAAGAGAAAAAAAAAATCACTACACATATGATATTCAAGACGATGATAAATAATTACCGGAATAAGCTAATAAAAAATAGATATTGTAAATAAAATATTATAGTTTATGTATATCAATATTAAATAAAATCACATTTTACTATTTTAATATATTTTAATATATACATAAATTAATAGAGATGTGCAACGCACATCACACAATTCTAGTATATATAAAAGTCTGCAAAATACAAATCTCCTTTTTTATGTGACATATAGTATTTACAAAAATTCATATAAATTAAATATCAACAAATTTCTGATGATATCTTTCTCTACAAATTTCCCTTGATCTCTCTCCGTCTATTTCACTTGCTATATACATTTTATGTGTTATTGAGGATATATAAGTAACGTATATGAGTGCAAGAATATATTGTTGGAATTTTCATGATTTCCAATAATTAATATTGAGTAATATTAATTAAATTATGAAAAGATTAATTTCATTTATTTACTTGATCGTAATCATGAAGTAAAGTGAATGAAAATTGTCTTGGGTAAATGGTTAAAGTTCAAAAGATGTGCGCTCGATGTGATCGAGTTATAGGACTAGTTTGGGTTTAGGTGTCCACAAATATTACTTTTGGGGACATTTAGTAGTTAGTCAAATTATTTGACCCAAAATCCAAATAATAAAATATTTGGCCCAAACCAAATTAATTAATTGGCCCATGACCAATTAATTTTCCTACGCTTGAACTCGGTGAAAAGAACATACACAACTTTATGTTTCTTCTTCCAACCATTGCAACCCTCTATGAATGGATCTCTACCGCCTATAAATAAAGGCAGAATCTGGCCAATTCTGTACGGAATTTAATCGGCAATTACGAGATAGTTCTTCATACAAGTCTGAATATGTGGGTTATAGGAAATTTATAGTGGACAAATTTCAATTTTATCGAATGGTCGATAGCAAAACTGTGAGTGAGCAAGTGAATGAACTTCAACTCATGATTTACGATATTCTCGCCGAGGGTCATGAGGTAAGTGAATCCTATCAAGTGGCTTCCATAATTGGAAAGCTTCCACCGAGTTGGACGGAGTTCAAACACTACCTAAGACACAAGAAATTGGTGTCCAAATGGACGATGGAAGAACTCATAGCAAGGCTCAAAACCGAGGAGAGGGTGGTCAATACGTGGCTAAGGCACACGTAGTGGAGAGCTCAAAACAGAGCAACAAGCGAAAGGGTCCTACATTAGGACCAAACAACAAGAAAAATAAGAGGTTCACCGGAGCGTGCTTCGTTTGTGGAAAGAATGGTCACCTTGCAAAGGATTGTCGCCACCGCAAAGAAAATAATAAAAATGAAGTGAATGTCACCATTGACTTAGCCGCTTCCGAGAACGACAATATGCACCTTTCGGCAGTTGTAACAGAGACCTACCTATTGAGCGATACTCGAGGATGGTGGGTAGACACCGGGGCAACTCGTCACATTTGCTATTGCAAGAGCATGTTCTCCTCCTACAAAAAGTTGGAGCTGTCATGGTAAATGAGGCTTATTCGGTGGTTGAAGAAAGTTACCTTGAACGATGTGCTACATGTTCCGGATATTAGGAAGAACTTAATCAGTGGTTCTATCCTAACCAAGAAAAGTTTCAAGTTGGCTTTTGAGTCGGACAAATTTGTTTTAACCAAAGGAGGGCTCTACGTGGGAAAGGGGTATCTATGTGACGGTCTCTTTAAGGCGAAAGTAGCCGTTATCGGCAAGAACTAAGCTACTAAATTTATATTAATAATTTTTAGTTGATATGGTTTATTTGCATTTTATGATATGAGTTGTAAGAACTTATTATGTTGTAAAATGTCGTGTGTAAAACAAGGTTTTATTATACAAGTTTTTGACCAGTATGTTTTTTTCCAAAATTGCCCTATGTTTTACAAGTATGTATGAAATTTTAAATTATTAAATCATGTAAATATTTTATTCTTTCTTTTGGGAAAAAAAAATATTGTTTTCAAACCAATGAGTTTGGTTGAATTTGGGCATAATCAATTCTTGTTTATACTTCAAATAGTTTTAATGTTGTTTGAATTATTTGTTTTCATAAAATCTATGAATTCTTTGTCAAAAGAATTGTGTAATGATTTTGTGCCATCTTTTGTCACAAAATAAGACTTTCAAATTTTGTGAACAAAATACGAAGCCGTAAATGTATTTGTGAAATACAATACGCAAGTGTGTGCAAGGATAATTCTTCAAATTAATAATACACACTATTCACGTCAAATGGGTTAGCCAAACATTGAAATCAAAAATTTAAATACACGATTAAATTTGGGTTTATCAAACAACTTGTGGGGGAAGCTCCTTATATATCTAATGGTATATTAAATGGAGTTTCACACAAGATGGAGAATAACATTCTATTTTGAAAACATAAAATTGAGCTACAAATATCTCAAAATGTGGGGTATTTAACTACAAATTAAATATGTTTGTAGTGTACTTTACTATAGTAAGTCTCGACATATTCGTCGTAGACATATAATGCGATACATTTACTCTCTAATGGATTAAATTTCCATTGATTTTGAGAAATCCAACGATGACCTAGCGGATCCATTTAATAAAGGTTTATCTAGCGAGAGAGTTAAATGTGCATCGAGGGGAATAAGTTTAAAGCCTAAATAACTAAGTTACCTTATACGAAAACCTAACTTGGCGACTGGAGATCCCACAGACCAAGTTCAATAGGACAACCAGTTATGTGTAACTTAAATGAATGGAGCACTTAGGAGTTTAACTTCACCTTAATTCCTATGATGTAATAAGTGCAACCTACGACGTTCAAAAAGGTTAAGCTATTGTTTTTAATGACGTCTATATCTTGTAAATTACAAGTAGGGTATAGTAGGATACTCTTTATAGATGCGGTCACCTATGTTAGGGTGAGTTGGGTCGGCTCGTTGAGAATTCTTAAAGGCTGGAATTCTCTAAAGCACTCGCAGAACCCGAGGATGTTCAGGGCCAAAATGAACACAACCAAGAACTTGAACAAGTTCGTTTAGTATGGTGTTAAGTTTATTGTCTTGGTTTACACAAACAGCCGACGGTTCAAGATGAAATAATTCACCGATTGGCTAAGTGACTCCGATAAGCTTTAACTAGGGAAGGTTCAAGATGAAATATTTCACCTATCCCGATGTTATACTATTCACTAAGGAAATTTGACAAATAGATCTTATGCGATAAGATTGGAAGAACAATTTTATTCATGTGGGGGATTGTTGGAATTTTCATGATTTCCAATAATTAATATTGAGTAATATTAATTAAATTATGAAAAGATTAATTTCATTTATTTACTTGATCATAATCATGAAGGAAAGTGAATGAAAATTTTCTTGAGTAAATGGTTAAAGTTCAAAAGATGTGCGCTCGATGTGATCGAGTGATAGGACTAGTATGGGTTTAGGTGTCCACAAATATTACTTTTGGGGACATTTAGTAGTTAGTCAAATTATTTGACCTAAAATCCAAATAATAAAATATTTGGCCCAAACCAAATTAATTAATTGGCCCATGACCAATTAATTTTCCTACGCTCGAACTCGGTAAAAAAGAACAGACACAACTTTCTGTTTCTTCTTACAACCATTGTAACCCTCTATGAATGGATTTCTACCGCCTATAAATAAAGGCAGAATCTGGCCAATTTTGTACGGAATTTAATCAGCAATTACGAGATAGTTCTTCATACTCTTCTTCCCTTCGTCAAAGTTTCGTTCGTTGTTCAAGTTCGCCGTTGGTCGAATATTCGTGCAAATATTTGACAACTGATCGTTGTACCTTGGGAGACTACCGGGAAGAGACTGTGCACCGTTGACAGCCCGAAAATATTTTCTTAAGGGAATTGCTTTAGCAAGCCTCGATCGTTCTTTGTGTTTTTCACAATTCCTCTTTTCGACAAACAAGTAAGTATTTTCGTTTACGCAGATTGTTATTAATTATACCAACATATAGAGTATTGATCAAACATGGCTGAATTAGATTACAAGGGCAAAGTATGTGTGACCGGTGCAGCCGGTTTCGTAGCATCGTGGCTCACAAAGTGTCTTCTCTTGTCCGGTTATCATGTCACCGGCACAATCAAAGATCAAGGTTTCATCACTCACAAAATATCCAAATTAATTAGGCATCGTAATCGTAATCGTAAACATAATCGAAATTAGTTTGTGAATTTTGTAACTTCTTCAATATTAGTTTGTGATTATACATATATTATGAAATCTGTAGATAATTATGATCTTCTAAAGTGTAGTATATTTCAAACATTCAAGATTCTTCAAAAATACGATATCTTCTAAATAATTATAAAAGGCGGAAATCCGTCTCAAATCGCCTCACAGGTAAAAACTGATATTTCAAACTTTTACACTAACATTGTAAAGGTTTTAGGCCGTCTCCACCTCAAAGACCTATTAATCGGGCGCCTGGACCAATTGTTAGAATACTGCTATTGCCATAGAGTGGTAAATTAAAAAAAATGATTTTCTACTACTTGGATGAAAATAAAAGAATAATTGTCTTAACTAATGACTTCATGATTAGCTATTTTTACGGTAACCCATAAAATATTGAATCCATAAAAATATACATTATAAAAAAAAGTATGTTATATAACTCGTATTGTTTTTTAATATTTCATACATTATATAATTAAATCATAATGTGTTTTGTCTTTTATTATATATTTATTTAACAAAAAGATAGATCAAAATGCAGTTGGTGGAATGGAATCTTTTCACTTTCAGCTGATAAGCTTCCCACCCACCCCCACTCCCACCCCCACCTCACCCCCCATATGACAAATTTCCACGTCACCATTTCTCAAAATTCCCGTTCAGTCCTTCATTTGATGAGCCAAACCCCACTCTATATATATTAGTGCATACACACACTCGCACAAACTGTGTGTATAAGTGTTGATCATGGGGAGAAAGCTTTTGGGTGGAAGTGTGGTAGGAGCATCTGTTAAGAATTACACAAGGCGGTGGCTATGCACTGCTAATGTGGGTCTGCAACGCGGCTTCTCCGCCGCCGCTCCGCCGGAGCTGCCGGATTTCGACTATAAGCCGAAGCCTTATAGCGGCCCCTTCGCCGACGAGGTTCTGGAAAAGCGGAAGAGATATTTGGGCCCCTCTCTTTTCCACTACTACCAAAAACCCGTAAGCCCCTGTTCTCTATATCTATATCTATATATATATACATGCACACTGTCTAGTGTGTGTGTGTGTGTGTGTTCTGGCATAAGTGTGATGATTTCATTGATTTGGCCGAGGGTTTTTGAAACTTTGATGAGAAATGATAACTGGAATTAGGGTTTCTACTTGCATATTTACTAATTACTTCAGATCAATCCTTTTTTTTTTTTTTTTTTTTTTTTTTGCGTTTTGTTGGTTTTGATTTGGGATTTTTGCTGGGGATTAATTGATCATGCCCATTTGGCCGTATGGTGGTTTCTTTTTATGGGCTTCTGAATTAATGTATTCCATTCTAATATATTTAATTTTTAATTTTTAATTTTGAAATTGAGCAACTTTTTTTTTTTCCTTTCTAATTTCAGCTTTCTTCTTTGATTGAAGAATTTAAGTTCATTCCGCATTCGATTAGCAGCCGATTTGTTGTATATTTATGTTGCTAATCAATAATGATTTCATTACTTTCGTTTGATTTTTGCAAGATTAAGAACACTAGAGCAGAGTCGCATTCGTATTAATTTGTCTTTTAAATTTTCTGTTGAACAGCTCAATATCGTTGAAGGGAAAATGCAGTACTTGTTCGACGAGAATGGAAAGCGTTATCTCGATGCATTTGCAGGGATAGTGACGGTTTCTTGCGGCCACTGCCATCCCGACATATTGAATGCCATTAATGAACAAAGCAAGCTTCTGCAACACGCAACCACTATATACCTACACCACGCAATCGGTGATTTTGCTGAGGGACTAGCATCTAAAATGCCCGGAAATCTAAAGGTTTTTCTCACTGATTTTTAAGTAATCCAACTTGTTTTCTTAAACCTTGCATTATAGAAATAAGCTGGTTGATGATAACTAGTTATTACAAAAAAGGGACGATAAATTTTCTGTCTGGTAAATCTTGATGTTTTAGGACTTCCAAGATCCCGTTTTTCTCGTCTTGTTCTTAAAATCTTGCATCGTGGACATGTGTTAAAGACACTGTATAAGAAATGAACTGGTTTATACTCTGCACCACATGATATGGTCACGGATAACTAGTTGTTACACAAAAGGGACGATGAATTTTCGATGTCTGTAATATAACTCTGATTTGTTCAATAATCTTGATGTTTTAGTACTTCATGATCTATGATCACAGATAGCTAGTTATTACGCAAAAGGGATTACGAATTTTCGATGTCTGTAAGAAAACTCTCTTATGTTTGGTAATCTTGATGTTTTAGGACTTATATGATATATGATCACCGATAACTAGTTATTACGCAAAAAGGACGATGAATTTCTCTGTCTATAATAAAACTCTGATTTGTTCGGTAATCTTGATGTTTTGAATAAGCTCTCTCATAGTCACCTATTTTCGTATGCGGATATTTCGATGTATGTTCCATGGATTTTTATATGAATATTTATTATGATAAATTCTTCATGGGAAATGCAGGTTGTGTATTTCGTAAATTCAGGTACAGAAGCGAACGAGCTAGCTATGTTAATGGCACGATTGTACAGTGGAAGCCTAGGCATGATTGCATTGAGAAACGCATATCACGGGGGCAGTTCTAATACAATAGGACTCACCGCTCTTAACACGTGGAAGTACCCTATTCCTCAGGTTTATCTTTACATTCCAATTAACCCTCGTTTATCTTCGATTTCTCAGAAAGGAAAATAAAAAAACAATTCAGTTAATTAGTTCTGTTACATTTTTATTACAAGTGGAGGTTTTTTTTTATATGTAAAAAGGACTCATACTCTAATACTTAAAAAAAACTACTGCAGGGTGAAATTCACCATGTTATGAATCCAAACCCTTATAGAGGAGCGTTTGGCTCAGATGCAAAGCGCTATGCAGAAGAAGTGCAAGATCACATCGACCACGGTACTTCAGGAAAAGTTGCTGGATTTATTGCCGAGACTATTCAGGTTTTGCGGGACCTACTTTATAACATTTATTTTTAATACTGCAATTAAATAAAAAAAAAATCGTGTATTGATCTTGATTTAGAGACTCGTTTCTTGATTCTTTGCTGAAAACAGGGTGTCGGTGGAGCAGTTGAGTTAGCACCTGGATACTTGAAATTGGTTTACGATATTGTTCGTAAAGCTGGCGGTGTATGTATTGCTGACGAGGTGCAAACTGGCTTCGGTCGAACCGGGTCCCACTATTGGGGTTTCGAGACACAAGGGGTTGTTCCGGATATAGTAACCATGGCTAAGGTGTCCTTTTCGACATTTATAATTTCGTCTTTTACATGGGATAAGATAATTTCCTAAACTGGTGAAATTTGAAAACTCAGGGCATAGGCAACGGTTTGCCACTTGGCGCTGTTGTGACAACTCCAGAAATAGCGAGCGTGTTGTCTCAGAAAATACAGTTCAATACGTTTGGAGGAAACCCCGTTTGCTCGGCTGGTGGACTTGCTGTGCTAAATGTTATTGATAAGGAAAAACGTCAAACGCACTGTGCTGATGTCGGCTCTCACATGATTGACCGTTTACGAATTCTTCAACAAAAACACGAAAGTAATGTTTCCTCTTACTTCCAATCTTTCATCAATTTTTTTATGTATCATGTCATATTAATTAATGGTTGCTTTACCTGTGTACGGGTGAAAATTGGAACCAGAATTTCCGAATTCTGCCGATTACGTTCCAAATATTTTTTATTTTTGGAACAATATTTTTCATTACGAATTCCTAGAGTTCCAATTTTGGATCTCCGAATTCAAAAATAATTTTGAAAATTCTAAATCCCCCCCCCCCCCCAAAAAAGTTCACTTGTATAATATCAATATTAATTTCCAATTTTGGAACAAGTTTTTTCGTTCCAATTTTTTATTCTTTTTTGGAACGGAAATGGAATTAGTTTTTCACTTCCGAAAAAATTGCTAGTTCCGATCCGATCCGTCCAATTTCCACCCCTATCTACCGATTTTTTTCCCTGTTTCTTGAGAAATTCTAAATGTTCGGTTTTCGAAACAAAATTCAAGTGCTAAATATTCATAGATTATGGTTTGTTTTTTCTGCTCTACATTATCCTGTACGCTGGATATGTTTACGAAAGGTGAAAATTAATGAGAAACTATTCTCGTTTTTGGTAGTTATCGGTGATGTGAGAGGCAGGGGATTAATGGTCGGAGTAGAACTTGTGACTGACCGGAAAGAGAAAACCCCCGCCAAGGCAGAAACTGCAGTCTTGTTCGAAAGCCTAAGAGGTTCGTAAAAAATCCTTCTAAAAAAAACCCGAATTATTTTTTAAAATATTATTATCATTGATTTATTTGATCAAGAATAAAATTTTAATCTTAGCAAGTTTTCATTGTTGTAGAGCTCGGTATATTGGTCGGGAAAGGCGGACTTCATGGAAACGTCTTCCGAATAAAGCCCCCCATGTGTTTCTCGAAAGACGATGCAGGTATATGTTTTGTGTCTCTTTATTTATACAAAATGAAAACGGTACTAATTATTAAAAACATTTCTTATATATATATTTATAAAATTCGTAATACAACAAGTTATCGAGTTTTCTTCGATTTTTTCGGTTTATTGCAGATTTCTTGGTTGATGCACTGGACTATTCCATTTCAAAGCTGTGAAGAAATTTATTATCAATAAAAATGTTGAACTTCTGTAATAAAGCTGTGTTAAGCACTTCTGATTATTCAATAATATATGCTTCTTTGCCTGAAATTTCATTTTATATATATATATATATATATATATATATATATATATATATATATATATATATATATATATATATATATATATAAAAAAGGAAGCCCCCCGAGCTTGATTTATTTCCGGCTCGATTAAAATTCATTCCAGATCGACTAAATTTCTAAGTCGAACAAAAGCTCAAACTTAATTTCTAAAATCCCGACCAAAGTTCGGTACAAACGGAGTTCGATACTAATGATAACATGGAACGAGTCGTGAAAAGAACAAGCATCTTCATTCATACACTTCGATCGAATATTTCACAAACTACATTACTACAATGTAAATAATACATACACTCAAAATACAAACAGACACCCATGCCTGGAAATTTACAGGGTGAATGAAATACACTTCAAACCCGAACATTAAAAATTAAAAATAAAAATAAAAAGCATCTGCGCACTTCCTCTTGATAAAACGACTACCTAATCATATTTACAAATTATTTTTTTTTCAATCACAGGAAGCAGCTCAAAAATGGGGGTCGATAACTAATAGTATATATGGTTTTTTTTTTCTGATATGTAATAGCACCACGTGGAAAAACGAGCATTTGTCACTAGGCCGATTCACGAGCGTGTGAAGACCAAACGGAGCTCAATGTCCGAAGGCGTTGCAAATACTCTCCCAAGGCAAGGAGTCCGTAAGCTGCTTGTCGTGTGTTGAGAATCCGAGATATTTGTTGTAGCGTTTCTTGCCTTAGATGATCCGCCTGTCGGTACACACACACACGAAAATATGAGAGAGAGTGAGAGAGGGGGGGGGGGGTGTGTGCTAAAAAAATGTATGATAAGGGGATTTTTTTTGCTAATATTAATAGCACGGGGAGTTTTTTAGCAATTGCATATAACATAGGGGTGCTGAGTGCAATTAACCCGATATTACCTGGCCGACAAATCTCACGAGAGCTTCTAACTTGTCAACGGCAGCTCCGATCTGAGGGAGGCAGTTCCCTTCACGGAGCAAATCAACGGCTATGCTTCCGGCAAGAATTTGGTGAAGCTTTTCCATACCTTGCGATAAAGCATCTTCCATTTGCTGACAAGATTGTGCTAAATTGCAAATATCCACACGTTGTTGCTCCAACAACGGCTCCAAATGCGGTAATAAAACCTGTTTTATTATTACAAAACATATATTTATTACACTCAACAAATCTTATATACGTATATGCATTCAGCACCCCGTGTTTACTCTAATTGTTAAAAAAATCCTCGTGTTATTAATATTAGCAAAATAACCCCTTATAATGCAATTGTTTTCTTTATTGCAAATTATCCCGTAAACCTCACCAAATTGGGGGTTATGTGCTGAAAAAAAATGCATTATAGGGGTTTTTGTGCTAATATTAATAACATGAGGACTTTGTTTAGCAAGTTTGATTCTTTGTCTCACCTTTACAAGTTCCGAGGGGCGAAAGCCTCCGATCCAGAAGAAAAAACGCTCGGCCGAAGTTTTCCACATTCCGGACATAATGTAGAACACGTCAATCTTTGCAGCTGCTGCTTTCATAGCGAATAAATCGAAATAATGCCTCATTCCATTATCAACAAGTACGCGCAGATCTAATTCTCCAATATCGGAATTTAAAGAGTTCCTCAATTCGGAGATTTGTCGGTTTTGTTCTTCCACCCAATGCCCGTACTCTATTTCGAATGCTGCAATAGCTGCAAAGTGCAAAAAAACATTGCATGAATTATATAAAGTTAAGTCGTGTTTGGTTGCAAAGATAGGAGTTTCGCCGATATATGTTTGTCTTCCATTATGGCCTCGTTTGGTTTCTAAGATATGATTAAATAATCTTCTTACCCAAAAAGTTATTAGACTAACCAAACATTCAATAAGGTCCAATTTATTTAACTAATCACGACTAATCTTACCAACCAAACAAGGCCTTAAACGATAAACTGAATCATTTAATATTTATATCTCCAATTTAAAATAACTAGAAACCAAATATTTTCCGAAGAAATGTTCGAGTAGACGAGCCAACAAACCTGGATTTATCGATCCAACATTGCCGATCTGATTATCTAAAGAACCGCCAACGTACAACCCCTGCAGCAGAAAGTACCCCTTTTAGCAAGAATCTCATTAAAAAATACTAACTAAATAAAAGTAAAGATTTCTCGTTTACCTGTTTTCGGACCCGGTCAAGCTCTTGTTCTAACTGAATAAGTCTCAATTTACTATTCTCCAATTGCTGCACATATGCCTGTAAAATTGTTTGCTAATAAGCAAAATTGAAAGAAAAAAAAAATAATCTTTAATATATATTTACAAGTTTGCCATCGTACCTTTTTCCGGAGACGACTTTTACGAGCGGCCTCGCGATTTTGTGCTAGGCGCCTCGTTACCTAAAATTCAAAACTCGAGCCCTTGTCGTCAATTAACATCGAGCACATTCGACTTTTTAAACTCAACATTTTTCCAAGTGTCGATATATAAAATATAAATTTCCATAAATAAGGACATATTTTTCTTTTCGTCGTCAATTACGTTGGATAATCTTGACATTTCGTAAATTAGAAGCAATTAAATGACACCAAAAAAACAAGAATTTACATATTTACCTTATCGGCCGGTTTATTTGCTTCTTGATCGTATTTATTGGAAGGTCCAACAGTTCCGTGTGAAGTATCCTCCGACTAAAAAAAATATATAAAAATATAAAATCAATTAATTAAGACATAAATCGGCCACAAATAAAATGCAAACGCCACAAGAAAACGAGATATGTACCAGGTTGTCTAGCTTAGCTTCGACCTCGAGAATCAACGATGGAGATTCGTCGAGAATGTTATTGCCTTTGAAATCTCCCCACATTGATATTTGATGGATCGGGTCGTATATCCCCATTCTTCTCGAGGGCACAAATTGAGTCGATGTAGAATTCATTATCTCGTTCAATAACTGTTTTAATTATATATAGACGAAAAGAGTAAATCAAGAAAACGGAACGATCATTTATCGTAACAACAAATTAATCATCTGTGACTTGCTATGCTGAACTGCTTATGCAAGAGAAAAAATTTAGACACTGATTTTGATGTATCTAATCTGTGTCTAAATCAATTAAATCATCTGAAGAATCTGATTTCGGGATTTTCGAACTCGTTTATATTTATGTAAATCGAAGTCAAAATCTACTGAAGCAATGCTTTAAATCACCAGCTATTAGAACAAGTAAAAATTGCCCAAAATCACACACACACACACACACACACACATATATATACATATATATATATATATATATATATATATATATATATATATATATATATATATATATATATATATATATATGAGTGTAAGCAACAATAAGAAAAGATCCAAGAATCTTATAAACAGAAATCCCTTTTAGAAACAAAACAATACAATAAACAAAATACAAACCCTTGATATTCATTTCATCACCATTTATTTATTTTTGGAAAAAAAAAAAAAAAAAAAAAAAAATTGGAACCTTAATTAATGGAAAGGAGAGAGAAAGCCCGGTTTGGGAAGAAAGCCACTTGTCAATAATCAGCTCTCCCCAATAAAAATAATACACTGTTCCAAACCCAATCTTCCATGGCTGCACTGAAGAAGAAACAAGAAAGAAGAAGATGAAGATGAAGAAGGAAGAATCGAATATGATTGTGAACGCAAACACCTTTTTTAAATGTTTCTATATAAATGGGAATTAATTAAATTAAATTATTCAGAGGAAAAAAACAAAAAAAAATTAAAAAAAAATGTTCTTTTTAATTAATTAGAACAGTGGCAATTGGGAAATAATTAATAATTATAAAATATAATTTTGTAGTTTTTAGTGTGTGTTGTGTGTGTTTTGTGTTATCGTGAGCTACAGAGTCAAAGAAATATAAATATATAAATAATAAAATAAATAAATAAATAATTGGTGACATTTTTTTTTCCACTAAGAAACAGTGTATTGTAGTGTTATGGTTACTTTGAATATGCGCACCAGGTCACTCTCACTATATTTTGCTCATTTGCCCCTTCACCTCATCGTCCAATCAAACTCCACCCCCCACCCCCCACCCCCACACCAAAAAAAAAATTAAAAAAAAAAAATCAATAAATAAATAAATAAATTAGAGTTTTAAATATAGTAAGATGTAAGAAATAGAAACATATTTACACCATATGTGTTGTGAAATTAAAGAACATTGTCAAATTAGATAATAGGGAAAATTACAACCAGCCCCCTAAAATAATGTCAAATTACGAAGAAAAAAAATCGTTCTGTTTTAGTAATTTCAACTACCATCAACTATGTATTGTCTTACAAAAAAAATCCCTCATTTCATAGGTAATTTTGATTTTATAAGGATAAACGTGTAAGATGATACATAGTTGATGGGGAATGATTCTAATTATCCAAATAAGAGGGGATTTTTTGTAATTTGATCTTACCTTAGGGGTCTGGTCGTAATTTGCCGTATATTATTATATAACAAAGAGTCGTGTTACTATAAGGAATGTATACTTTAAGAATAATTTGTCATTGTTGATAAACTATGAATATTTGCCTAAGATGTTGACAATAAATTGTAAACTAAGTGATGAGGTAGGAAATTCCTAACGGAGTTATCCACATGGTCAATTACCACATCATTCGATTGTCGTTTTTATCCAGAAATTTACCGATTTCGAAATAATATTTTTCACTCTGAAATCGGGAATTTTCATTTTCATTTTTTTTTTGAATTTTTTTGATCTAAATTAAAATATATACCTGATTTCTACTTTCGAAGTGGACTGCACTTATAATATCAATAGTATCATTATGCAGTTTATATTATAGGTGCATAGAAATAGAATTTCTAATTTTCGCCAGTTTCGATTAAAATTTTGATTTTTAAACAAATTTTCTTATTCCTATTTTATATTGGTCCAATCTTTTTTTGGAACATATATGTAATTAATTCATTACTTTTGAAAAAAATAGACTTTTATTAAAAATGCTTATTCCGATTCAATGCGTACAATTTCAGCTCGTAAATATATAAAAGTAATATCTCTATAATAGAGCTAACATGATTGAGACCAAAGTCAAACAAGGGGCTACATAAGAATTAAAATGAATAAACAAAATGTTTAGAGGTACAAAAGTTGAATAACAAGAAGATTTGGGGCTACATTGCATGAAACAAAAAGGTTTGGAAAGGAGAGTGGATAACACGCCCGGCAAAAGAGCGTAGAAACGCGTTGTATTTTTAAATGATTGAAGTCATTTTAGCGGGAAGTGAAGTGACGGAAGCAAACTTCTTTCTGGGGCGTGACGTCACGCTGCTTCTTGTAATTAATTATACTTTTGCCCCCAAAATTTAAATAAATTGCTATAAAACCCATTTTCATTTTCTTTTTTCTTCTATATATAATCGAGCTCGTCACATATGATTTACTTATCACATTCTATGCACTATTTGTCCCAATCTCCCAAACACTACTTTTTCTTTTTTCTAATTTTATTAATTAGTAAATTATAAATTACCCCTAAAGCTGTTTAATTAGGTGCAAAGTCTCTGAATTAATGCATTAAATAAATATATATCATGGGCAAAAATGTATTTTTACAGCTGGCAGCTCCTTTTTCCCAGACTAACCTAAACCTTTTAAACTAATGACTCTTCAAATCCTTTAAAGACATTGATAATCTCAACTCTTATCTTCTTGACACGTCATCTTTGCTCCTAATTCATCATATAATACTGCAATTTGGCTACACATTATCCAATTTCTTTTATATACCTACCATAAACCACAATCAACCATACCAAACGTGTGATAGATAAGTTCGATTCGATTAAAATTTGGGAAATTATTTGTTGATTTTGTAGATGGTACACCCGATGAATTACACTTTATACCATTGATCTGTATATAATAACACACACTCACTCATGTGTATGTGTGCTTAGTGCAGAGCCGGTCCTGAGGGGAAGCCAGAGATGCCATCGCTTAGGGTCCCATTTTAATCTGGGCCCCCAAAATAAAATAAAATAAAAAATAAAAGCCTAATATATATAAATAAATTTTTTTTTTAATAGAAAAGAATATTGCAAACAAAAATTTATAAGATCGGGGCCTCGATTTTTAATCTCGCCTAAGGCCCTGGGAACCCTAGGGCCGGCTCTGGCTTAGTGTGCAGTTATTTGTATAAGGGTAATGATACGCAGGCCAAATTAAACATTCATGCACTTTTTTACCATGATTTTTTACTTTTTTACCATAACTATTTACCTTTTGTACTATTCATGTGCACAAAATCGGACTTTTTTTTATTCATGTGCTCGTGTGAAATTACGCGAGCACTTGGCAAGTGCTCGCGTAAATTCACGTGAGCACATTAACAAATTTTTTTTTTTTTTTTAACCCACTCGTGTGATTTCACACGAACAGAGAAGATATGCTCGTGTGAAATCACACGAGCAGAACGTCTCTGTTCGTGTGAAATCACACGAGCAATTAAAAAAAAAAATTTAACAAGGCCTGCTCGCGTGAATTTACGCGAGCACTTGCCAAGTGCTCGCGTAAATTCACACGAGCAGGCCAAAGTCCGATTTTTTTCGTTTTTTTTTTCGGATTCGTAATCTACATAACAAGAGGATCGTAAAAACGTAAAAATTACCTCCGATCTGTTGACGATTTGTACGGGCTTTGCGAAAGAAAATCGAAAGGGTAGAGAGAGTTTTTGAGTTTTTTACTTTTTGTTTTTTGAAGAATGGTAAAAAATGTGCCTGACTGTTTAATATGTGCATGTACAAATTATTTCAGTTTGTATAAATATATGGTATAAAGTTATTCAGTATGTTTCACCAAATGTAGCATCTTATACACTCTATTTTTCTAATCTTGTTTAATGTAATAAATCAACCATATAATTTTATAGTATTAGTTTTGTAGTAAAAGTTTCTCACTTCATAATTTCAAGTACATTCGACAATCTTCTTCAATCGGTAAGGATTCTTGCCTCAAGTTCGACCCTCACCCAATGCATTTTTGGGCGAATTTCCACAAGGTAAAAATAACCGGTTTTGGACCGGTTTATCGGGTTAAACCGATGAGTATACCCGTCGGTTCTGAACTTCGGATATCATAAATCAGAAGTGGCCCGTGCTTGCCGGTTCCGGGCCGAGTATGGGCTTCTGGTCTTTGGGTCGGTTCCGAGTGGTGAACGAGTTGGTTATGAGCCGAACCGGGCCCACGACTCTCTAGCTCGAAAAATCTTTCGAACTACATTTCAAGTCATATATCCCCTATAACCGAGATGATTTTTGAATTAAGATGACACATTTTTTTTTTTATTATTGTTGAAACTATGTCACTTGGCAAAGTAAATCTATATATAACTTATGGAAAAAACTAGACACAAAAAAAAAAAATCAAATTCAAATTAGAAAGGAAAAAATGGTTATAAAAGTCAACCATATATATATATACAGGTCAACTGCACTCAATTATGTTGACATACTTTTTGTAGAATGAGTTTTAATTGAGATGAATGGCTCTTTTTTGAGCAAGACAACATCATAACTCGTCTCTTTTTTCCTATATATCTTCTCTAATAATTCTACATTATATTAATGCTTAATGTCAAATATGTAGTACTGAAAATAAAATAAAATTATAAACTTGCTATTTTATGACATATTATTTATTATGTCAAATAAAATAAAGAAATGGTTTGATTTCACTTTATATTCTTAAAAAATAGTTTTTTAACACTTTACACCCTCGAAAAAAATATTAAATTTCAAGAATACAAAATTCGATTAAGCGTACATAAATTCGTTCCCGAGTGGTGGGTAGAATATACGGTCCACCAATCTATATTCTCAAACACTAGTGATTTGTATTTTGTCCAACCAAGTTGCACTTTAATTTGTTTTCATATTTGGAAGCCTTATTAGCTTGTTTTCATTTTATATTGAAGAAATATTTAGAAAAAAAATTAAAATAATACTTACTTACATTTTGATAAGAGATAAAAAAAATTGTAGAACTTAAATCATATCTAAAAGTGTTGGAAAAATAATAAAAATTAGAATAAAAAAATTGAAAATTAAAGTAATTATTTTTGTAACACATTTGAACTCTCTCTCTCTCTCTCTCTCTCTCTCTCTCTCTCTCACTCACACACACACACACAGAAATGCACATAAAAAGGGAGTAAACTGCAAATACTACCCCTGTGTTATCTCGAAATAGCGAAAACCCCCCTGTGATAAATAAACTAGCAAAAACCCCCCTGTGAAATTTAGTCAAAGGCAGAATCCCCCCTAGCTGATTTTTTAGACTTGAAATGACAAAGTTGTCCCTCAAAATGTATTTATATATATACATATTATATGTATATTTATTCTTTTTAATTTGTTTGTTTAGAAATTAAAAAAAAAATAGTAAACAACTAAATTGATTATTTTTTAAATAAAATAATTAAAATATTTATAAAATATAAAAATTTATTAATTGCAAGACTCCAGGGGTATTTGTGTCTTTTTATATCAAGTCAACCCTCAAATAGTCCATAGGGGGT